CTACACGCACCTTAGTTTAACACGGTGAAGGAGGAAATATCACCCAAACTCAGTGGCCATTTGTACGTGTCACAAAATTGGCCTTTAAAGCAGCTTAATGGCCTTTTGCACCGCTTTAATGGCACGGCTGTTTCACATGTCGGTGGTGTAATGCAGGTTAAATTACTTTGGGATGCAGCAAAATAAAAGATGTCAGGTGTTTTAGTTTGCTACCTTACAGCTGCAGAGGGAAGCACCAGACCCCATGCAGCTCAGAGGCTGTGCAGGCAGCCCGGGCAGGCAGCCCGGCAGCAGCCCAAGCAGGCAGGCTCCTGCAAAGTTTAAAAAAAAAAAAAAAAAAAAAAAAAGGGGCAAGCCTGATCATTTTTTTTTTTTTTTTCCTCCCTGGATCCTGCCTGCCTGCCTGAGCTGCATGAGGGCCTGGTGCTTCCCTCCGTGGCTGCAGTGCCCCCCAGGACTTCCCGGGCCAGGTGCCTGAGGGTGGGTGCCACCTGTGGGGAGCTGCCACTGCCGCAGAGGGAAGCACCAGGCCCCCCTGCAGCTAGGGGCCTGCTCCTCCTGCCAGCAGCTCACCCTCCCCTCCTTGCCACCAGAGAGGCAGGTAAGAATCAGGCCTGACCCTTGTGTACACACCACGGGGGGTTACTTCACCCTAAATTAAAAACCCACCACTTCAATTTAGAACTAAACTGAAGTAAACACCCGTGGCATGTACAAATGGCCAGTGATCACAGTAGCAAAAAACATTTGTATCCAATGATGTGGAGCTATCCACCAATGCAAACCTTTCATAAATAAGTTGGTGAAACAATACATTTGTTTTTCAGAGAGAAACTCACCTTCAACCCTAAACCATGTTTCCCGGGCATCACAGCAGAACAGTCATCAATAACTTGTCACGTTGAAGCTCTGCTATTAGTGCTTACATAAGCAAAGAAATGTATCTTGGCAGTCTGAACAGGCAATCTTAAACCAAGTGGAAACCATGTATAAACTTCCTTAGACAAAACTTGACAGTCTGAGTTAGTAGCATCATACTACTCACCATCACAGGCTGCTTTGAGAAGTAGACCATAGCAATAGTCTTCTGCAGTAACTTAAATACACATAACCTAATCCTGATCTCGTTCATTCCCACTTCCTTTTGGGCAAGATTCTGCTCTGATTGATGTCTCTGTGAAATGAGAGTGGGTCCATTTAATTTAACGTTATTCTGTGACTGACAGCAAAACAGGATCAGAAAACTGTGTCCATGTACTGTGTAATAACAGTGGAATCTGGCTTACAAATACCATTATCTATAGACATATTTTCCAGAAGTTGCTTATATTGTTAAAAATAAACTTTTCAAGCTTGGCTGCCTAAACCTACCCACTAGAACTATATTCGGGTACCAATGTCACCTGACGTTTGAAAGGTGCTGAATATCTACGGGGGGGGGTTGCTGAAAAACAGGCCTCTGCATGACTAAATTTTGATTTAGAGGCCTAGATTAGTTGGCAAATGTTATCTAAAATCCAATCCTCCAAGAACAAGGGTAGTCTTATTCAGATGCTAACATCCTTTTAGGATGCTTTAAAATATAAACATCTTTTTATAACACTACCATCTTCTTGTCAATGGCCAGCATGTGCTGCAATATATTGCTTGGGCTGGTTTTTTTGTTTTTCAAGAATTCAGGTGGCCTCTCTGCCTCTGTCTCCCCACTCCGCACATTGTTCTTCACGCCAAACCAACGAGAGCTTGTGTGGAACAACTAGATTATTTTCATTTGAAGATTATAGCACTATCGACAGCAGAAACTGCTGTCTGCTGCTCTTTCTGACCCTATAGTCCAGGCCCTGCCTTCCAGTACGGAGCAGGACCCGTCCTGTAGTTGCCCTGCTCTCAGCAGGTTGTCTGCACATGGCACACACCACAAGGAGCAGCCAGGCTGCTGAATGCAAAGAAAAGGAGTGAGAACAAAGGCCTGGCAGGAGTGCTGCAGCGCTCATAGACCCTGCCTCCCAGGACTCACTCACCAAATAACCTAGCCACCTCTGGTACCTGCCAGCACTTCCAGCCACCCCCGGAGCCCTCCCAGCCCTTTCTGCACCATCCCTGGACATGGACACAGGAGTCTTGGATGTGGCAGTGATAGCCAATTCCTCCACTTCCAGTCTCCATGGATTATGTGGCACATGTTCAGAACAGCTCGGAGCCAAGGAGCCAGGCAGAGGCCACCGTGTGAAAAGAAAATGTGTCTTCTAGTCTCGGGCGGTCCCGGTGCTCTGCAGGGCTCTGTGCCTCTCTGCCCTGCCTTCTGCCTCTATTGCAGGCCTGGGGGGTAAACTGTGACTCTGTCTCCTGTAAGGAACATCACAACTGGAGCTGCCAGGAGAGGAGAGGAAAAGACAGGGCTTGGCTGAAGACATACTGACACTGTGTGGGGCAGAACAGAATCAGGCACAGAGTGGGTGAATAGGCAGTGCAATAGCAATGAAATTTGGTGCCCAGGGCAAAGCTTGCAGTGGCAGCCCGCCCTCGCTCCATGCACAGATCTGGTGGGGTACACGCTCCCCCAAGCTTGCCCAGGAGTGCACGCAGCTCTGGGAGCTGTCCTTCCCTCATCCCTGTGCTCCCCCAAACGAGCCACTCATAGCTCCATCCTGTGCCTCGCCATGGCTGGGCAGCGTCTGCTGGTGCCCCTTTATTTCAGCACCCGGGGAGGTCACCCTGCTCAACCCCCCCCCCCCCCCCCCTGCTTGCTACGGCACTCTGAATAGGGAGATGTTGGCTTCCTCTCTGGGCCTGGTCTGCCGCTGCCTGATCCCACTGACACAGGTTGATGCTCCGAGGGCAGGAAGGGAACGGGCATGTCTTAGCAGCAGTAGCCATGTGTGGGGAAGGAGGGTGCCTTGTGGGTGTGAACCACTAAGGGGAGCCCCAGGCTAGCAGGAAGAACAATTCAGCACTCCTATGAGGGGACTAGAAAATGGCTGAAGCAGCCCCAGCAGGTAAACCCAGGCTCCAGGCCCGGGAAGATGCCTGTCCCTGGCAGAAGGGATCAGGGGACCTGAAAGGCTCCCAGGCTCCTGGCAGCAACTGGTTTTGTTACGGGTCAGTTTTGCCTCCATTCTGGTGATCTCAGGCAAGGCAGAGATTTCTGCCATCTTTGTGGCCTCTCGGGGTGCCTGCAGACGTGGTCGTTCACGTTCTGATAAGAACGCGTCGGAGCAGACCGATGAATCGAGCATTAATCAAGTCTGCTTCACATTTTAATTAGACTGTTCCAGCATTGCCGCACCGGCGCGTGCATGAAGCCATTGCACATTTCAAAATGGCTGCTTTATCTAAACTTCACAAATGAGCTTTCGATAAAGCATCCCATGGTCATTTGGAAACACACAGGGGTTTAATACACATGGTGGTGAGCCATTTTAATTAGAGCAGCTGTCTGGGAAATGCTATCATTAAAATGCCACCCCCCCTCTCCCCTCCTTCCTTCCAAGTGTGTGTATAGGCAGCCTTGAATTTTTGGTGGCTGCCTAGTTCTGGCTGTTCTGGGTCTATACATGGAAAGGGATTTCTACTTTTTTTAGGCTTTAGGCATTTTAGACCCTGTGCCCCTCGCATGCCCTTTCCTGGGGGACATTGGCTTCTCTGCCTGGTCTCCCTTTGATGCAATAGCTACTAAATCAATGGTGCTAAGAATAAAGGAGCAAGGGCCTTCGCACAGGGAAAGCCCAGAGACAATAGGAAGCTTGCTAATCTGTGGAAAACAGCCAAGCTGCTACAGACGTGCAGCCTGCTTCTTCAACACAACAGCCCACGCAGTTGTTCCACACAACAGCTCTTTCTATGCCCTTAATAGCTGCCTGCTGTGTTTTGTTTGCCAACTTGTGTTTTATTCATTTTACAGCTACTTCTCTCTTTTTCTCTTCCCTTACAAATGCAGCACATGTGTTGCTATCTTAGGGGAGAGAACAGAAAATTAAAAGGTATTTTCAATATAACCTCTCCTACTTGTTTTAAAAAGTGTCATCTCCAGAATTTCAGATTGGACTAACTGATCGTGTCAAAGGAGATATCGTTCTAGGTTCCCTTTAGATCCCAGTTCTTGATCTGATGTGGTTGTGCCTGGTGGCAATTTTTAGATAGATGAAGATAATCTTTGCAAAACAAATTAGAATAATTTGGAGTGATTAAGTAGCAGTTTCCCGAGCGGAGGCAGAAAAGTAGCAAAACTCAATAAAAGCAAGACCCTGCAGGGGTGGATTTGTCTTGCTGATGGTTCAGTTCTTAGTGAGTTGTAAAATCAGGTGAGCTCTTATAATGCATTATGCAGGTTAAATAAAAATCTTAATAAAGAACATTTTAAATGCATTATAAACTTGGAAAAGGATCTTGTAAACATTGTATCAGGTGAGAGGGAGGGAGGGAGGAAGGGAGTGTGTAAAAGATAATAATTACACATATTATTTATTAAGCAATAGTCATTAAGGATCACTGGTAGGAGGAGAGAAAGCATACCTTTTAAAAAGACTCCTTCCTCAAGGACTTCTGTTACTTCTTCATTCTTCAATGAAAGTGGAGAATAAAGGAGCAAGAGCCTTAGCACAGGGAAACCCAGACCTTAATACCTTTCGTCTTTTTTCTCCTGAATGTCCGTATCACGTGTCTGCAGGTATGTGGACCAGCAGTCACCTGCCTGCCCCTCCCCGTCACACTCCTGGACAGAGTCAGAGTACGGAGGACAAGGTGTGCGACATGGTTCCTTGCTGGCATAAGTAAGCTCCATTTATGCATAGCAGTTGTTTGGAGGAGGTTTGTTGCACACCTGTTGTTCCCAAACTTTCAGCCATGCTCTGTTTCTTCAAATAGTCCACCCCTTGCTTCCAGGTGAGTTTACATTCTTCTGACTGTACGTATCAGTAGCTCTGTACACATTACTGCACTCTAGAAATGATCCTGTTGTTTGTAAAGTGAGTTGATATTAAACCTGTGCTGTTTGCTTGTAGATGTTTTGAGTGGCCTATGTCTTCTAAAATACGTAGCGGCTGATCTCTTTTATGGAAATGATAATGGGTCAAGTAGTGATGCCCTTGCTCTCTAATACCGTACTCCTCAAGCAGTCCTACTGAAATCAGGGAGACTGCTTGAGGAGTAAAGTACCACTCCGTTTGAGTAAAAGTATCAGAATGTTATTTGACTCCTAGCGGATTGAAGAACTGTACCCAGTGTCCAAAGAGTCATGTCAGGGTTTGATGTGACAGTTGCTGGTTGGGTGTGTTACTAACGTGAACTAGTTTATGCGTGTTAGGCTTTGTCTATATTTTTGCACCGCTTCAGTTAATTTAGGGTAACTATGTCAGTGCATACCTTCAGCAACTGCTGAAACTTCCTTAGCCTGACGAAGGGTTTTTGAACCCGAAAGTTTGCTTAATAACAATTCTCCCATTTGGATTGGTCTAATAAAAGATATCAAATTCACCCAAGGAACCTTGTCTGCCTATGTCCTTAGACCAACACGGCTACAACCTAAACCCCTGCATACCTTCAGCAGAGACATTCTACGTGCTATTAGAAAAACTGCTTCCAGTTATTTTTTACCTTGGGAGTGTCTACACATGCTTAATGTGACTGAATTAACTCCAGCACAGTTTGAGCTGGAGTAAACTAATCTGGATATCACCATCTAAATGTGCGTTTAAGCACAGTAATTTACTCCACCATCGGATAGCATTTGTGTCTGATGGGACTATTGGACAGATCAGTAAATTAGTCTACACCAGCCTAATTGCCATGCTTGTGTAGATGATGATGCTTTGCAGATTAGTCTACTGTGCAGTAAAGTGCATGTGTAGACGTACCCTAGTATTAAACAAAGCTATAGCGCACCACTACAAATCTCTATTTAGAGGGATAGAGCACATCTAATATATGTGTAGAGTGGATCTTTGGTCCTGTTTTAAACTGAGTTGGCATATGTCATTGTAAATGTGCGTTGAGGCACTCAACAAACGCTTGTGATTTCACTTCACGGAAAAAAGTGACTTTCGTTTCAATATGATGGAGGTGAAATCTAAAGAAAAATATATGTAGGGTTAGTAGAGAAGCCTTTGTACTAGGCTTGCTCTGAAGCCCACTGAAGTCCATGTGAGGTATTTAAAATGGTGTATTCTGGAAGGCAAATGTTGTCCAAAGCAGCAGTACAATGGTACAAAGTCATAAAGCTTTGTTTCTTGCAAGTTACATAACATTCGTGTCAGTAGGTGGAGCTCCAAGATAAATAGTTCTGGTCTCAAAATCCTACCCTCTGCTACACATACAGCTATGTAGATGGGATATTAATTACAAGAGTAAACTGTATCCTTAAAATAATCATTGGAGATTTATGCACCTTATTCTGAAAATCATGCATGTGAGAGAAGACCATTCTGATCCCCCCGTGCTTGGGCAGGAATATCTCTATGGCACGTTTTCAGTTATTCTAACTATCCCAAATGCTGTTAGATCTACCACTTCTCTGCAAAGATACTCAACAGCTTATTACATATCACTATCAAATGAATCAGCCTTAATTTTTTGCTTTTCTTAATTTCATCTGACAACTCCAAGTTAAACTTCCACATCCTATCACAAATTATTTCACTCCATCCTTGACATACTTGCAAATATGCATGTCTGGCTTTAGTCGTCTCTTTTCCAGACTATGAGATATCTTTAGTTCTTTAATCTTTCTTCATAAATCAGTCCATGCAGTACCGTGATAATTTTGGTTTATCTTTAAACCATTCCCTCGATTTTTCACATATTTGTGAAGAGTTGCAACTATCTGAAATCCTCGTGTCAGCTTGGAGGCAGCGGATAGTGAGTCTGTGCATAGCACAGAAGTTTGGAATAAAAACAAAGGAAGTCCAAAAATTAGGACACAAATATAGCACCAGAAATGTTCCCCCAAGACTTAAGCGTATCTGGTATCAACTGTATCTGCTAAATAAAGCAGTTAGATGGCCAGGTTTCTACTGCGAGTGGTTTACATTAAGCCTTTATGTGCTCAAGGGCAATCCATCAAAAAATGCAACCATATTTTAAAGTGTTCTGATCTTTTGATAAACTTACATCATGGTCCACAGTAGCAAAAGACAGGCTGTTCAAGCAAAAACAAGCATTTTTCAAGCTGTTAATAAGATGGCTACACATCAGCTGCTGATGTGTAGAGGTGAATAATACCTTGTTATATGGATTTGTACATCTTGGAAATAACAGTTCAAATCAACATGAACGAATGAGAACTACAAAAGGTCCACAGTAAGAAAAAGAACCCTTTGGATGATGGAGAAAGGGTAATTCAGTACTAGTGTCTGGCAAGTCTTGTCCTTTTGGGGGAAAGACAGCATGATAAAGGCTGGCATATGTGGTAGAAGTGGGGAAATGCTTGGATCTGATTGATTTTTTTGGTTATTCTCAGCCCGAGGTAAGAAGCAGCTGCTGATTGTGTGTTTTATATGACTGCCTGCTAAAACTATGTAAATGCAATGTCTTTACACCCGTTTAAGGTATCTGAGGGGCTGTGCATGTGCTTTTATGACAGATACTCATATAGACATCCACAACTTGGAATCGGTGCTTCTTTATGCATCCGTCAACCAAATATATCAATAACAAACAACACGTGCCTTTTTAATAATTCATTTGTATGTCTGTATGCAAACCCAGAAGGTGAGAAGAAGGTAAGCCAGGCTGTGGGAGAGGCAAAGGAAGGGGCACTGAAATGAGGATATAAGTGACCTGATTCCACTTCCCAGCACTGCTGCTGAGTTTTGTGTGATTTTAGATAAGTCCTTTCATTACCCTGAGCCTCAGTTTGACCTGTCATTTCAGAATAAAGAAAACCTGCATTGTGGGAGTGGTAGATGGAAGTGCAACCTTTCACTGACTATAAAGAACAAGTTTTATTATGAATGACCCTTCAAAAGGAGGCTTTTAGGGGTCATAATTTGGATCCAGCAAACAAAGTTGAGGTAAAAAAACCTTTTTGAATAGGACCTTTAAGGGACTCAGTAGTTGGCAGCTACTACGAAAGGCCATGGGGAGCAAGAGCAGATCCTGGGGCTCTACACTCTCTACAGCTGATGCATATATATGAGAGAGACCAATTCACTGCCCACTGGATAATGGCGACAGGCATTGGCAATGCATAGGTGGTGCATACGGGTGCACGTGCACCCCCTGAGCATGGCAGCACATCCCCTACAAAAAGGCACCGCCAACACTGCCAGTGGCACCTGCGGGCAGTCACCGCTCGCCACTCCCTTCTCGCTGCCAACACCACTGGTGGCATCTGCGGGTGGTCCATGATCGCCATTGGCCGCTGCCAGCAGCGTCTGCGGGTGGTCACTGACCTCCAGTCAGCACTCGCCCCCCACTGCCGACAGCTCTGCGGCTGCCTACGGGAGCTCCCCGCTCACCGTTGCCACGCTCCCGCCATCGACAGTGCCGCTGCTGCCTGCGGGAGCTTGCCGTGCCTACACTTATCAATGAGTTTAGGACAGATTCCAGAGTTACACTCATTTCCAGTCATACTGGCCTAAGATTTCTTTTTTAAATTTGATTTTTGACTCCATTTCATAAGGCTTTCTTGCCAGAAAGGAATGGTTCACCTGCTCAAGCCTTATCAGTTGTACGTGTATGTTCTTTTTTACCTTCCTTAACAAAATCCCAGAGGACTTGGCCAGATGGAAATTCCATATACAAAATTAGTTTAATTGAAAAGCCTATATTTCCCAAGTCTCGTCTAAAGTACTGAAGTTACCGTTAATGAATAAGCAATAAAAATCAAGATCCAGGGTACTTCAGGCCTGGGTTTTGACCTCTGCACTTAGAATAAGCTGCAAACTAAGCAAGAAATACTGTCCTTGACTTAAAATAAATCAGAAAGTCGGCTAACTAAATTGAATAAATATAACCTGGGCAAGAGTGTTATCTCAGGGTGGTGAGCATGTTGTATTACTTTTGACTAACTATATTATTAGCAGTGCTGGAACCAGTTGGGGTGAGCAGGGTGACCGCCCTGAGCACTGAAGCAAAGGGGTGCCAACAGGAGCTGCCCAACTGGGGCAGGGTGTGGGACGGAGCCGCGAGCGGCTTGGTTGTGGGGGCACGGGGATGGGGGGAGGGCGACTTGCACCGCTGCATGCACTCCTGGGCAAGCATGGGGGGCATGTGCCCCCAAGATCTGTGCGCAGGGCAAGGGAGAGGGCGGGCTGCCACTATGGGCTTTGCCCCGGGCACCAAACTTCCTTGCCATGGCACTGAGTATTAGAATTGTAACTGCTGAGGTTGCTTGGCTCCTGACTTAGAATCGTGACTGTTAGGATGCAATAAACTTGCTCATAGTTAAGGACACCCGTATCTTAGTCTCTATACCTGGTAAAAAGACCTGTAGAAGCATCACTGGACATAACATAAGAGCAAACTCGTGTAGGACCCAAGGCCTGCCTTCTTCCAGGGAGCCATACAACCTCTGACTTGTTCTCTTCCTCTTGGCCCTATTTATCTCCAGCCTTCTCTTGGCTGCACAGGGAGCCAGTTTCAAATGGAGGGCTGGAGGAAGGACTGGATAATGCCTAATTTGTTTCCTACTGGTTTAAAGCACCATATTGGGAAATCAGAGAAACATGGATTCAAACTCCCTCTGGGTGAAGGCAGGGGAGGAGGAAGACCAGAACCCGTGTCCCACTTCCTGGGGGAGGGAGTGACTCCCAAGCTATTTAAGCTAAAACATGGAAGGGCTTTTTCCCTCCTCTCATCATGGCTTATGTATGCCCAGTGTACATAGGTATGTAGCTGCATACCTACCCACCCAGCGTGCAGCCTACTGAGCATGGTAAGTAGCTCTGTGGATGCTTACATGTCCACATTGCACAGGTAATAAAACAGTAAACTGTGCATCAGTGCCAAAATGCCACTTAGGTAGCAGGGAAACTGCCATTTAGTTACTTTAAGGGTAATAGAATGTGGGCCTAATTGCCTAAAATAGATAATAAGCTAAATGAGAGCAATATTAAGAAGTTTCACAGCAAATGAAAAAAGCCTGTATAGACCAGCCATTATCATTGCAACTGAGCGGCAAGCACTCATAATTAATCCTGTAGAAGAGCTTCCATTGAAGACTTATAGGATATTCATTTTTATCATTGCAGCACCAGCCCCTGGGCCACATAAGTAGAATTTTAAACAAGCTTTCCCAAGCAGCGGTGTCAAAGGGAACCTGAGCATCTGCAGGTATAACCAGTTTCTTTACAGAAGGCACAGCTTCTATATACTAGGATGTTGCCTACTACTTTTAGGGTCAAGACTTCTAAATAATATATTTAGATAGACTCGTCTTAATTAACCTGGGTGAAACACTATTATTGAGCATAGATGCAACACCAAAACCTGGTAAAGGAAGGGGCCCCTTTGCTGGCACTAGAAGGAAAAGAAAAAATTGAGCTTGTCTCATACTATTTCTTCTGCATCCTACAATACAGATGCCGCAGATACTTACAGCTGTCCCTACTCAGAAACAACAGATGCAAAGAACTGTCACATTCAAAGCTAGTGAAAGGATATCATTCCCATTTATTTAATGCTTAGTCTTAGCGTCCCTTGACTGGAAGTTGTGGAGCCTTTGATCGGTTCCCCAGATATCATTCTTCAATGTCTAATTTTCTCTTTGGAAAGAATACAGAGGAACTGTGGTCAGTAAGAAAATAAGGGAAAAAAGGGAAATGAATCTAACAGTTAACTCCCATCTTCCACTTTCCTCTCTTAAATGTCCTGGTGGGTTAATTTTAGGCAGAATTGCAAGGCAATTGTTAATGGCCTGATACAATCCAGGGAGAGTTTTTGAGAACGGTATGTAAAGAGCATTCATAGTGTAAAATATGAGTCGGGAAATGATCTACTCTAGAGGAAGGCATCAACAATGGATAGGATGGGATCATTTATGTATGTAAAGTACTACTACCCAAACCTCTGTGTCTGTTGGGACACATTATGTTTAGAGACACTCAGCCAAGTCCTTTGCAGGTTTACTGGATGGGCTTCACCACTTGAAGACAGAAGCTGGCAGGATATCCTCTTTGCCGCACTACCGGCAGGGGGCAAAAAGGAAGCCCAGCTCCTGTGATGGAGAGGGAAGATGCTATTTCTTGTCCTCACCCATAAGAGTGAATCTCTGCCTACACTGACTTTTTTTCCTGAGGAGGGAAAATAGCAATTCTCTGTGAGAGGGTTCAAAATTGGTTCAATAAAAGATGCTATATTATCTGCCTTATCCGCAAATGACTATGAGTGCAGGATAAAGCACCATCCCATTTCACAGTGCAAAGAACAGAGTAAAATTTTACAGTTGCCTGGAAAAAAAATTGCATGAAGCAGAGAGAAAAAGACCCCAGAATTCCTGCTTTCTGGAGTAATTACCAACAACCACCCAGTCAATAGCTGTGTTCGGTCAGGGACACGCTGACATGTAGAAAGATGAAGCTAGACAAAGTCTTTTGCTAGACATGATTAATATAAAAACCCATCATTTAGAAAACACCTCTCCAGATTGGGTCCCCAGATAGAAATCTGCTTGTAAAGGCTGATTAAGTTACATTAATAATCAGAAAAAAAGTCATTCAAGCTGTGACCTAACTGGGCAATACTTCACTTCAAATGTACCAAGACCAATTAAGCATTTTGCAGCTAAACCACAGACAATGAATGTGAAGTATGAAAATGCTTTATGCATTATTCAAGGAAGAAAATGGCTCATGTACTGCTTGTTTCTGTAAAGCTGGGGTGGGCAATTATTTTGGCTGGAGGGGCCACATAATGAATTTTGGTGAGCTGTCAAGGGGCACACACATATAATCTTTCAGAAGAAAACATTTGAACAAAGTATAGATACAAAACAAATCATATACTAAAAATCAAACATAGACTGTAACATCTAATTTTTTTTGAAAAGGAATTTTTGTCCTGATTTATGTTAGTTTGAGTCATGTATGTAGAGGCTATTGCATAATAGCTCAAAATAAAGTCTTACTCTTGCATATTGTCGGGGGGGTTGGCGGGTTGTGGGGGGGTATGGGAATATGGGGTATGTGTGGGAGGATGGGTGTGTGTGGGTGGGGAGGGCGTGGGTGTGGGTGGCGAGGGAGTGGTGGGGGGATGGGCTGCGGGGGGGGTGCGCATGTGTCGAGGCGGCTTGCCCGCATGGTAGGTCCCAGGACCTGGGTGGAGGTTAGGGGAAGGTAGGATGCGGGGGACCAAGGGGGATGTGCACCAGAGCTTGCCTGGGTGGGCTGGACATATTGGTCCCTGGAGGCGCAACAAGCCACTGGTGAAGGGTAACCAAATGCCCGGTAAGGGAAGGAGACAGTCAATACTTACCTACGGTATGAGGAGCCAATGGTGATGGAGCAGTGATTGGTGCCGTCGCAGCGGTTTAGAAGCACCTGCTCCCTGTGGGTTGGGCGGCATGCCGAGAATGACATCATGAACCAGCAACCAAGCATGGCCAGAAAAGAGAAGTGGAGCCATGCAGGGAGGGCAGACAGAGTGCTGGGGATGCAAAACACCCAGTGACTCCAAAGCAAATAGTGAGCAGAGCTGGATCCACAGCCTGGAGACCAGAAGCGGTTTCCAGCCAGACAGTGGCCCAGGACCACCCAGAGAGAGACTCCTCATGGACCACATCACCCAGGCACTGGGAGAGGAGCATATGAGTTGGGCAGCTGCCAGAGCCCAGGGACCCAGGTGCAGTGAAGATGCTGCCACTTTTTGTTTCCTTTTTTCTTAAGAGATAATTGATGTTGATTTAGAAGTTGCAGACTCAGCAAAGGGGGCATGGACTTAAGGCCCTGAATTGATAAGTGGCTCACAATTTAATCTGAGCAGAGCAAATTAATTGATATTTTGATTTTGAGGCCCGCAAATTGATCATAGACTGAATTAATTTAAGGAAGCCCATGAATTAATTGGGGCTTTTATTAATTCAAGGAGACCCATGAGTTAATGGATTGCTGTCGACCTGGAATTGGGCATGAACTTTATTGATTTAAGAAAACCCATGAATTAATTTATTTTTGAAGTAGAACTAAAGCCCTGCAGCTTAAATGAAGACAATAGTGAAGGCTGGTGGCCCGAAATTAATTAAGGACCAGTCATCACTGGAGTGTAGGTGTGGGCTTTAGGCATTAGACCAGGGAAGCCTGGGAGCAGGACTGCTGACACCATCACAATCTCAGTTGGCATGTGGACAAGGTGTAGGGGAGGAGGAGCCCTAGGAGCCTCCATGGCGCGAGTGTGCCTATGAAGGTGCTGATAATATCCTAGGACCTTTCTTTTCTTCTCAAGATCAAGGGGTGGCAAGCAAGTCGAGGAAGGCATCCCATGCACAAGTCACCTTGCCACCCTACCATATGGGTGATGGCTTCACACAGTGTTCTGCACGTACAGATACAGGTGTGGTCTGCCCACCCCCAGCTGGCCCCGCCTGCTCCCCCCCAGACCAGCCCATCCTGTGCTTCTTCCCACACCCTCCCCACGCCTGCTGACAGCACCACTCCAACCCCAGCCAACATGCACAACTTCCCTACAGGGCTAATCCTGCTGCTGCAGCTGCCTGTGTAGTGCTTGGTTCTCCCTACCTCCAGCAGCTCCTTCTCCTTCTTCTGCTCCTGCTGCAGTGGGTGGAAGGTGTCCAGGAGCTGGAGCTGGAGCCCTGCATGTTGGGGCAGGAGCCACCTGGCTGTAGCTTCCCCCCCTGACCTAGCTGGGTGTGTGGTGCCCGGCACATGTCCCCACAGCCACCCCAGTACCCCACGCTACCTACTTCCCAGAGCAGCACAGCAGGGGCAGGAGGAGGAGAAGCTGCCTAAGGCAGGGGGAGCTGAGTAGTACCTGGGCAGATGCAGCAGGAGCAGCCCTGCTGGGAAGCCCTATTGGGAAGCTCCCAGCCCTGCTGGGAGGCTGGCTGGAGCCAGGGCTGGGGCAGTGCCATTGGTGGGCACAAAACAGAAGCAGACAGGGCTCAGCTCATGTGGAGCACCACAGGGGCAGCTGTAGGCTGCATACAATCAATTGGCAGGTCAGATTCAGCCCACAGACTATATTTTGCTCACTGCTGCTGTAAAGCATCCAGCTGGGTGATTTACAGGGCATTACAAAAATGGAGTTTGGCAAAGGGGAGAGAAGGGTACTCTTAAATCTGTTTGGCAGAGTGACAGTAAAGGAGATCAACCACCGTAGAAACTGGCATCTGGTCTGATTTGGCATGTCACTAGTCTTCTTCAGTTGGCCTCCCCTAGAGATGTACTTGACCTGAAAAGACTTGCACAAGCAAGAGAGGCCAGTAAAGGAGTGGGAAATACAATTTGTCCTTTAATAGGAAAAACAGGGCCTTCTGACTATTCCCCTCTGTCCAGTATTGTTCAACATCTTCATTAATTATTTGGATGATGGGGTTGAGTACACACGTAGCAAATGTATGGATAGCACCAAGTTGGGTGGAATTGCAGACACTCCAGAGGGTAAGACTAGGATCCAGAATGACCTGGATAGACTGGAGAAATGGCCTGCAATCAGTGAGATGAGATTCCACAAGGACAAATGTAAAATCATAGAATCAAATAAATCATGTAATTTTAGGGTTGGAAGGGACCTCAGTAGGTCATCTAGTCCAACCCCCTACTCAAAACAGGACCGTCCCCAACTAGATCATCCCAGCTATGGCTTTGTCTACCTGGGTCTTAAAAACCTCCAAGGACGGAAACTTCACAACCCCTCTGGGTAGCTTGTTCCAGTGCTTTACTATCCTCCTAGTGAGAAAGTTTTTCATAATATCTAACCCAAATTTCCCTTGCTGCAACTTGAGACCATTGCTTCTTGTTCTGTTATCTGTTACCACTGAGAACAGTCCAGCTCCATCCTCTGTGCAACCACTCTTCAGGTAGTTGAAGGCTACTATTAGATCCTCCCTTAATCTTCTCTTCTCCAGACTAAATAAGCCCAGTTTCCTCAGCCTCTCCTCGTAAGTCCTGTGCCCCAGCCCCTTAACCATTTTCACTGCCCTCCACTGGACTCTCTCCAATCTGTCCACATCCTTTCTGTAGGTCCCCAAACTGGACACAGTACTCCAGATGTGGCCTCACCAGTATCAAATAGAGGAAAATAATCACTTCTGCTAGCAACACACCTACCAGTGCAGCCCAGGATGCCGTTAGCCTTCTTAACACAAGGTCACTCTGTTGGCTCCAATTCAGTTTATTGTCCAGTGTAACCCCCAGGTCCTTTTCTGCAAAGCTGCTGCTTAGCCAATCAGTCCTCAGTCTGTACTGGTGCACTTGGGATGGAATAACTGCAGGCACATATACAGACCAGGGAATGACTGGCTAGCCTGCAGTACTGCAGAGAAGGACCTGGGTCAGTGGCAACGCTAGTGCACCCCCTGACAGCAGCATTTCCGGGCAGGGGGGGCAGGCGAGAGCACTGGTGCCCCCCCCGAGTGCATTGGCCGGGGAGTGCACCAGGAGAAGTGGTCCCCCTGTGGCTGATCCGGAAGTGCCAGCGGGATCAGCTGCGGGGACCCCCTGCCCTCCCCCCCCGTCTGTGGGATCGGCCATGGGGGGATGCCCGCCCCCTGGTCGCCAACTGTCCGCTGGGGGGGCAAGTGCCCCCCCTGACTCGGGAGGCACCAGTTACCCATGACCTGGTTGTTATGGTGGACCGCAAGCTGAATGTAAGCCAAAACCATGCTCTTGCTGCAAAAAAACAAAACAAGCAGCAACCTGGGTTGTATTAACAGGAGTGTCACTTGCAAATAAAGTGAAGTGATTTTTCTGCTCTATTCAGCATACCAAGGGACAGTATTTTTAAGAAACAGCATTCCCATTATATGAAAGGGTTCCATATAGCTTCAGAGAAATCCCCTTTCTTCCTTGTTCTCCTAGGAAAGGGAGGCAAACCAGTTCACTTCAGTCAGAGCAAAACTGTCTATCCACTCTTATATAGAAGTCTTAATATAAGCCTCCACTGTCGTTAGCCTAATTACCAAACAAGTTCTCTTCCAGCAGACCATTGGACTATAGTCTTTCTACTTACAAGGTTTAAAAAAAAATGTATGAGAGAGACT